AGTTTGTTTTTGTGTAATTAGATCAAGCATGGGGCTTTTTAGTTTAACTGCTTACTTCTGTAATTCGTGTACTTTACTTTGTAATGTGTTGATATGAAACTTGCTTTGGTCCTGTCATCTCATGGCCACCATTAATGGTATTATAACATTATTGTTAACCTTCTGTTGAATCATCCTTACGGTGCTCCTAAACTTTCTTTTTTCTTGTTTCACTTTATACCTATGCACTGAATTTGTCGGATGAATTCTATATCAATCAAGTGAATTTAGCTTTAAGATAGTATGTTTGGCTAATTTATCTGGGTGAGATTCTTAAGGTGGCTAATTTTATTATTATTATTATTATTATTATTATTATTATTATTATTATTATTATTATTATTATCACAGTCTGATTTAAGGTGGTTTGGAAGTGCTGCTCTTCAGGTTGAAAGATACTTGGGCAGCATTTTCAATTTACGACATCTAAGTCATGCAAGAGTAGGTTTCTGCACCCAACATAAAAACATGAGAGAATTACTTGAGCTGCTCAATTTTCTGTGAGACAATGTGAATTGTTATTGTTGCACAAAATCTGTGTACATTAATAGATCAAGTTTTTAGTTTTGGTTGCGTCAATGAGCTATCCCATCTTAAGCTGTTTTTATTCATTTACAATGAATCTTTTTGGAGCACCTCACAAGTCAGGGATAGGGTTGAAACTTGGCAAATGCTATGAGTGAACTGGTGACCTTATATTATTCTACCAATAAAGCTATCTAATCAATTCCTTTTCATACTTGTAAATAAACACTCTTAACACGACAACTAATAATGCTCAAGCCTTACTTTTTGGGTTTGAGATCCGAGTAAATCTGCATTAAGAATAGAATCGTATAATAACTCCAAAATACATCCATAAAAAAAAAATGAATAATCAATTAAATTTTTTCAGAATTATAGTTATCTCAATACCATAACTCTCTCTCTCTTTCTCTCTCCACAGGTCACTAAAAAGGAAAAGAAGAAAAGCATGGAAGAAAACTAAACAAGTAAATTAGTAACAATTTGCAATTCTGAGGCCAAAGCAGCTTTGAACTACCACTTTCTAACACAATTCCTCACCAAAGAGGGCCTTCAAATTTGTCCCGTGAGAATTCAAATGGAAGCTGTATACATCTGCGCAGAAGATGAAACATCCAGCAAAGACTAAAAACTTTGTGGCCAACAAAACAGGAACATACAGAAAAGACCTCAAACAAGCTCCTCTGTAAAACACCTATTTAATACAAATATATTATCTGCCAGTTTTACTAGAACAGCAAGACCCTTAAGCACCATACTTACCGAGGAATGTCGGCAGATTATCGGCTGCAAGAACTATCAATTACCCTGTCGCCAGAGGCTCAGAAGGATGGGCCAACCTTCTTTCCAACTTCAATAAACAGCGATAAACTTATGAAACAAATTACGGGCAGAACAAATCCAACAATGCAAGCAATCAAAGGATCAAAAATGGAAACGAGATCCTTTCGGGAATACGTAGACACGTAGAACAATTATTAAGAGAAGGTGTAAAAATTCACTGGTTCCTTACAAACAATAGAAATATAGGCTCAAAGTCTTCACATGATGAAGGGGAAAAGTAAAGAAAAGTAAACATCACCACCAATGGAACAACTATCCAAAAACTAAAACAGATACTCATAATCTCCATTTACTAGTTACCCGTCATAGTAAAAAGGAACCAGTCATGGATAGGGGATCTAATATATGAAAACAAACGATCTTCTCTCTCGCTCTTTCTTCAGTTACACTCTAGCAGACACATCAAGTTCAGGAATTTTAACCAAAAGTATTACCAAGTACAAAACCTAAATGGGAAAGCACCTGTGAAGATATATATGCACATTCTGCTGATTTCAAAAGTCGTCGACCCAAATCTCGTACTCGAGCTTTCATATAACCTCATCAATTTGCAACATCACTCGAAAAAACTGTGGTAGCACCTTCTGTAACTCTTTGTTCTTCCATACAAATATTTCCACCTGCCACCACAGGTTCAGATGACTCAGTATCAATGTTGGCCATAACTGTCACTTCCATATCCACACACTTATTAACCTCATGGTTATTATTCTCGTCTCCATCTTTAACAACCATATTGTTCCTCTCAACCTTATCTGCATCAACGGACTCATCATTGTGATTTTCATCTTTGCCTTCAGTTTTGGCAACCTTGCTGTTCTCATCAGCTTCACCAACCACATCATCTTTATTCTCTACTTCCTTCCCCAAATCAAACACATCACCATTTTTGTTCTTCACGTCAACGTACTCATCATCTTTGTTATTTTCTCCTTTATCTTCAGAATCACTAACCTTCCTGCTGCCCTTACCATCTACACCAATCATATCAAATTCTTTCTGCACTCCCTTCTGAAAACCCAACTCCTCATTTTTCTCTACAGTCTCCACTTCCGCATACATACCATCACCGAATTTCCCCTTCGCATCCCTCATATTATTTTCACTAAAATCTTCATTATTGTCCTCCACCGAATGCCCACCTTCCTCTCCAAGGCTGCCACTCTCGTTTTCCGACACATTCTCCACAACTTCCTCATTAATTATTTCCCCAACCCTATTTCCCCTCCTCTCCAATAATTGCATCCTTCTCCTAAGATCCCCCAACTCCCTCTCCATCAAAAACAACCTCTCCTTCAATATCAGATTCTCCTCCTCCAACTGTGCAATATGGCTGTCCTGATCATCCACCCGATTCTCAAGCACACTATGGAAATCCATCCCACCAGCTACAGCACTATTCGGGTTATAAAGCATCTCAAAACGGCTCAAATCTTGGTCCAACCTCCTTTCTACCTCCACATGCTCCTCAACATCACTATCACTCGAGTCCCCGTCATCCTCCTCGTCTTCGTCGTGGGCCTCCATCTCATGCCCAGGTGATCTCAGCCGGATCAAACCCTTCATCGACCCATATCCGTCAACCCCCCACTCTTCCTTGGCCATATCAACCAAAACTTCCCTGGAAGGAGAGAATATGGGAGTCGGAAGGACAGCTGGCGTCACGGGAGAAGGCGAGACGAGAGAAGCTATGCCGCCGCTCTTCTTTGCTCGGATTATGAATGAAGTCGTGTTCCTCGGAGCATAAGGGGCTGCCCTGCTGTTGTTGAAATTGTTGTAACCGCCGCCCATGTTCATGTTCGTGTTCGTGTTTGTGTTTGTGTTTGTGTTCCTGTTGGTGTTGTTCTTATTGAACTTCTTCTTGGGGAAGAACTTGTGGGTTTTGAGTCGATTCTGGTGCTGCAACTCGTTCAGAGTGGGAGGCTGATAGCTGTTAAAGTTCATATTGCCGGTTATATTCACAACTCCGGCAGGACCACCTGAGCTGGAACCAGCCATTACAGATTTGAGCTGGCCGTTGTTCCTCCTCTTGTCGTTGGGCTTATTTACCTTTTTGCCCTTCCAGTTGTTCCTCGGACCCAAAGGCTTCTTGAAGGAGGGCACTGGGGGTTTCATGGCGCCTGGGTTAGGGTTGGGATTCTGAAACTGCATCGGCTGGGGCCACACGCCCCCGTAGCCTCGACTCATCGGAGGAACCATCTGCAGGTGAAAATTAACGGGATTGTTCAACTCGGAACGAAATCGACCGAGATTCAAGGGTTTATTCTGGCAAAACGCGATTACCTGCGGCTGAGGCTGTTGACTCATTTGATTCATACTCATCATGTTAGGATTTAAGCTCATCAAGTGCTGCTGCTGTTGATTCATCATCGGAGCTTGCTCGTTCATCTCGATTAACTCCAACTGATCGGTAACAGAATTCGAAAAACGA